GGGGATCCCCCCTCCTTCAGTCTGCACCCCAACCTCCAGCTCAGAAACCCATCCGCCGGGGGCTAAGCAGGGTTTTGGGCAGAGTTTCTAAAGTGTTTCCAGGTTTGCCCTTTGGAGTTGGTTGCCTGGTTCTTCTGCTTGGGTCTTTGGAGCATCCTAGGGCCGGCCGGGCCCCCACGCCTGGTCAGGAACCCTGGATCTTACCGCACATCAGCCCAGCTGAGGTTGTGTCAGCCTCCCCATCTGGGCTGCCGGAGCCTTTTAGAGCGGCTGGAAAAGGCTCTGTACATCATTTGGCCTCTCCATTTTCCTGGCAGTCTCTCCCCTCCACGCGCCTCCCTTCCCTCCCAAAGCATCGAAAACCGAGTGTTTCGGGGTGGCCGTCTGGTGAGGCATTGGGGGAGACGGAATAATGCCCACCTTGTGTTTGAAATGTCAGATTGTTTCCTCCAAGCCTTTTTTCAGACGGAAATCTCGGCCGATGCTCGGCGCTCCGGAGGCCCGCAGGCCCGGGATGCGGATGGGTGGTTTTTCATGGTCGGACAGAAGGTTATCTGAGAAGTGCTTACTGTACGTGGCCCGGGGCGTTCGTGTGGGGACGGCGGTGTGGTACTGCGGGTCGGTCAGGAGGTACCGGAGACCAGGAGATGCATTTAGAGAGACCCGAGATGGAGATGGCTGATGGAGATAGGCTGCAGATCCCAGACCGTAACCCCTCTGGATCTGAACACAGAGATCTTGCCATACTTTGAAAAGTGTCACCTGGGACTCGTAGGGACTTGTGCTTCAGGGCTGTCCTCTGTGCGAGATGCCACCTTCTCTAAACTGGAGCAGGCCCGTGGTGGGAGGGTGGCCAAGTGGCAGACCAGCCTCCGGCGATGCTTTGGTGGGCGGGTGGTGAGAGCCTGGCCCAGGTTGGCCCGAGAAGCTGTGGCTGCCCCATCCCTGGAGGGGTTGAAGGGCAGGTTGGAGGGGGCTTGGAGCAACGTGGTGTGGTGGGAGGTGTCCCTGCCCAGGGCAGGGGGTGGCACTGGGTGGGCTTTGAGGTCCCTTCCCACCCAAACCAGTCTGTGATGCTGTAAGTCTGCTGGTGGCTTTTGCGTGGCCGTTTCTTGAGACCCAGCTTGTGCCTGTGCGTGAACCAGGACTGAGCTCTCTCTGCCTGAGGAAGGAGCTGCAGTAACATAACACGTGCTAGAGAGTCATCATTCAAATTACCATGATTTTGTGTACGTGGGGATATTAACTAAAGTTGCATCAGCTTCTGTTTGTGTCCAAGGCTTTAAGAGTTGGAGGCAGAAGGCAAGACCCAACATTGCTCCCTTCCCCGGGAGGGGTTGGAGGGCTGGAAGGGCCTTTGAAGGTTGGATGTGACTGGCTGTGTTTGCGAAGCCATATTGCTTTGGCAGGAGAGAAAGTGGCCTCCTTGAGCCTGATGACTTGGTACGTAAGGGAACCCGAGGCACGGGCCAGGCATAATGTCTTTTGAATTGAAATCAATATTGAAAAACAGACCAAAACTGCTAAAGTTGCACATAAGAGACAGGTCGGGCGTCCTGCCCGGGCTCAGCACTGTCTGGCAGTAGCAGAAGGGCTGGGTGACCCTGTGGAGGGGGCCTGGGTGGCTTCAGGAGATGCACTGGTCACCCCCTGGCTCTCCTGGGCACCCTTTATCTTTGCTCCGGGGCATCCCTTATCTTTTTTCTGGATAGTGCTGGCTCTGCAGAGGGAAAGGGCCTGGGCCCTGCCAATGCCTCAGCCACCTGAGCGCCGCTGGCTGTTATCTTGTGGAAAACGTGCTGCTCTTGTCCGTCCTGGAGGGTTTGTGGGACCCTGCCAAGCTCTCAGCAGTTGCACGTGAGACCCCGAGAGAGAGACCCAGCCAGTCCCGGGGCCGGCGGACGGGGCTGTGCTGATCCCCGCCGGCGGGGACATCGACAGGTGAGGTGCAAGTGGGAGAAATGCTTTTTTTCCTCCCATCTTCCCTCTTCTTCCGAGGCTCTTGTTCGTTTCTGGGTTTGTTCTGGCTCATCCTGTGAGCAGAGGGCTCTGGGAAGGAACAGATCCCGCGGCTTTTCTCTGAGTGAGGGTCCCTTCGAAGCAGGGGGAGGCTGGAGGGAAAGGCTGGGGCTGCCTGCCCTGGGGACAGGGAGAGAGGAGGCTGCTCTGGAAAGTGTGTGTCCCAGCCCCGTGTTCTGCGGGGATGGCTCTCTGCAATGCTGGGAGGAAACCTGTGAACGGTCTGTTTGCTGGATCCTGGGGCTCTGAGAAAGGTCACACGCAGTGCAGCCTCAGGAAAGCTGCTTATGCGGGTGGGACAGGTGAGTCAGTGCCTTCCTCCTCGTTTTCTGTCATAATCCTGCTCTTCAGAGCGAGACACGCTGCCCGCTCCCCAGAAACCTCCCGGATCTGCCCACGGTTGTCTCTACCATGGTTGGACCCTGCAGCTCTTCCCAGGCCACCATCCCTGAGCTGGGCAGGGAGGAAGGAGCAGGCTACCACCGGATTTCTTCCGTGCCCTCGTTGCCATTTGGAGTGTGGTCGCTTGCCTTGTGTTCAGCGATGGCAGCTGAGGAGGCCAAGGGAGGCAGAAGGGCACACGAGAAACGTTTAACTCTTGCCTTTGCAGCTCCCCGTGCGTTGGTGGCTCTCAGGTTGGGCTGATAGGAAATGCCGCTGGCATTCCCAAAATTAGCTCCTGTTTTCAGTCGCTTAAAAGATGAGGAGGGTTTTTGTGTGGCATTTCCTCTTGCGCTGGAAAAAATGTTGCTGCCCTGGTGCCTGGGCAGGAGGGAGAAGGGGGAGCCCTGGAAAGGAAATAAGATCCAAAGAAATGTGTCACCAGCAGAAAGAGCAATTGTTTTCCTGCATTTATATTGCAGAGCGTCGTCTTGCTCAGGCAGCCCGTGTTTGACAGCCAAGATAATACATTTATATTGATGTAATTAGCGGGACGTGGAGTTTGCTGAATGGCTCGGGGGCAGCCTGCTTTTCAGTCTAACTCCGGCAAATAGATCAGGGAGGATTGGAAAGCTGCCGGGGGTTGCTGGAATTGGCCCTTTGGGTTTCTGGAGGTTGAGTACATAACTGCTGATATTTCCTATTGTGCTGTACCCTGCCTCGTTGAAAAGAAAATAACTTGAGGGAACACGGGGCTATTTTTGCTGGCTTGAGATGATCAAGTTTGATTTCTAAAAACTGAAGCCGAGTCTTTAGGCTTGCACATTATAAACAGAATTGGAAGCATATCTCTGTTCCTCTGCAGACGCGCGCCTGTGTGCTTTGCCGGTGATGGAAACTCTAATGTGTGTTCATAAAAAACCCCCAAAAATAGCTTTTCTGTTCCTACAGCACAGCCCCTTTTGTAGCAAGCCTAAACGCTGTGGGTCTGAGCGGCGTTGGTATTGGGGGAGGTGGCGATTGCCCTGTGTCAGGGGGGCCAAGCTGGTGTCTCACCCCACTCCTGGGATGAGCAGCCCTTGCTGAAGCCGCAGGATTATCCATACACACTCGCTTTCGTAAAATAGAGACCGAGACCTTCCAAAAAGCTGTTGTTGTACCTCCTGGTGATATCACCCAGCTGCGTTTCTAATGTAGCACTGCCTGTGGCACCTGAGTTTCTCTTTGGCATCTTATTCCCGGTGCCAGTCCAGATGATTTTGGATTACTGAGGGTATCACAGACAGATTCCCAACTCCCGTTGTGTTCCTCTGACAGCAGAAGGTCCTTCTGCTCCTGTAACAAAAAGGTTTGCAGAGATGCTGACTCTCGGACTGGGAGCAGGAGTTAACTCCCCCATCTTTGTGCTGGTCTGTGGAAGTGGGAACACATCACCAGGGTCCTCCTGTGCTGGGCTGTATCCTTTGAACCGTGGCAGCTCCGCTCTCCGAAGGGCTGCACCACGGATCGTGGTCAAGGTCTTGCTCTCCAGCTTGTCCGTATCGGTCACCTCCCTGCAAGCCTCACACCGGCAGGCAGGGCTCGGGCAGTCCTTGGAATTTCAGCGCAGCCAAAAGGCTTTATTTTAAGCTGCTGGGTGTTAAGCGGTTTCTCTTCCTCGCCCCATGCGTCTGCCACCACGTCTCCTGCGAGAAAAATGACGTGGTGTCACGTAGGCTGATGTCGGCATTAGCGGGGTACTCCGTCCTCTGGTGTTTGTCTCGCTCTCTCTTTACCTCTCGTAAGTCTTTAACCCTTTCCAGCAAGTGGGAGCAGCTCGACTGGAGATGCTGTGGGCCTGAAGTTCAGACCCTTGAGCTAAAAGGATCAGGCTGATCCTTTTGAACCTTAATCAGTCCTTTATTTACTTTTTACTGGTGCCCGAGTGGTGTCTCTTGCCTCCTCCACAGCATTCTCCATTTGCTGGTTTGATTCCATTAGGGCACGTGCCCAGGTGTCTGCCACAGGTTGTCTTTTCTCCACTGCCTGGAAATCTCAGGGGTGCAAAGCACTGGTAGAGAAAAGCTCTTGGAGAATTGACCAGAACCTGCCCCAGGGGCATCACGCTCCACCTGATGGCGTGGCTGTGGGGACAGTGGGCACGGTGGTGGGATCAGAACCGGGTCTGTTGCTCTTGCATTTTGCTGCCGTGCTCCCAAAGAGGCTCAGGGATCGCATTGCTCTGGCTCAATCCTCATTTGCTTTATTGTGCCCTCCCCAATCTAAAATAGAGGAAGTGAGAGAGTGCTGGAGAGCCAGACGGTTATGGACAAGGGTTTTTTTTGCCTCTGTCTGATAAAAGCCTGTCCCAAAGGAGACAGTACTTCCACAAAGTATGAATTCATTAAAACAGGTTATTTGGAGAGCAGAGATTATGAACGGGGAAGAGGAAATGTCTTGGGAGAGAGAGGTTTGCCAAGGCCGTGCCTTCTGGGGCTGGGATGGGCACGTTTGACATAACCAGAGGAATTTGTACTTTTGAATTTCCAGCAGATGTAACTGCTAACGATGTCCTGGCCACGCGGAGTAATTAACATCTGTTTCTGTATTTGAACATTCAGGCGCTGTGCCCCTCCAGACATCCCCGAGTTCACATCCAGCCCCCTCGGGAGATCCTGCCCGGTTGTTAATTGTCACGAGCTGTCCAGAATCCTTATCGTTAAGATCCTGCTGTGTTCCTGAGGTGTTGCGGTACCTGCTGCGACAACAGCGCTCGCCGGAATGCTAAACAGCCTCTACCAGCAGAGAGAGTAAGGCCAAGTGGTGGGAACAGAACTATAAAGTCACCGCCAAAGGTTCTGAAGCCACAAGTGAAGAATTTGACCCAAAAGCAGAGCGACTCCTGTCTCCAGGCAGGACCGAGCTCCAGCTGATGCTGAGGGAACCACAGAACCTTCCGAGAGCTCAAGTTCAAGTGGATGCACATTGAGTCACCTAAAATGTGAGTTGGTTGTGTGCGCTGGTGTGAGATGCTGGTCACAGAATGCCAGAATGCTATGGGGTTGGAAGGGACCTCTGGAGATCATCCAGTCCAACCCCCTGCCAGAGCAGGTCCACCCAGAGCAGGTCCCACAGGAACGTGTCCAGGTGGGGTTTGAATGTCTCCAGAGAAGGAGACTCCACCACCTCCCTGGGCAGCCTCTTCCAGGGCTCTGCCACCCTCAAAGTAAAAAAGCTCCTCCTCATCTTCAGATGGAACTCCCTGTTTTCAGATTTGTGCCCATTTCCTCTTGTCCTGTCCCTGGGCACCACTGAAAACAGACTGGCCCCATCCTCCTGACACCCCCCCTTAAAGTATTTATAGGCATTGATCAGATCCCCCCTCAGTCTGCTCTTCTCCAGACTAAACAGACCCAAGTTCCTCAGCCTTTCCTCATAAGAGAGATGCTCCAGGCCCCTCATCATCTCTGTAGCCCTTTGCTCTACCATTTCCAGCAGTCCCCTGTCCTTCTTGAACTGGGGAGCCCAGAACTGGTCCCAGTGCTCCAGATGGGGCCTCCCCAGGGCAGAGCAGAGGGGCAGGATGACTTCACTCCACCTGCAGGTCACACTCTTCCTGTTGCCCCCCAGGATGCCATTGGCCTTCTTGGCCACAAGGGCCCATTACTGGCTCATGGTCATCCTGTTGTCCACCAGGACTCCCAGGTGTTATTCCTCAGAGCTGCTCTCCAGCAGGTCAGCCCCAACCTGTCCTGGTGCAGGGGGTTATTCCTCCTCAGGTGCAGGACCCTACACTTGCCCCTTGTTGAACTTCATCAGATTCCTCTCTGGTCAGTCTGGAGTCTCCGTGGCCATTAATTCTCACGTGCCTTTCTCTCCTCTCTGTTCCCCAGCTTGGTGCAGCTCCTCCCCACAGGCTCGGTGTGCAGAGACCATCTAGCATGTTCCTCCAGCTGGGCCGTTCAGCCGGTGCCAACAGCAGCCGTTCCGTTCCAGGGACACCAGGGTGACCTCCCACCAGTTGGGCATCGGACCTGCAGAGCAGAAGCCCTGTTGGGTGAGAGGCTTTTCTGACTTTTCTCTGTGCTGGGCTGAGAGGGGCTGAAAGGAAAAAGAGCTTTTCTCCTCTGGTTTGTGAGCACGGTTACCCCGCTGCTTGTCTCCCACACCTCTTGTTCTTGTCTTTCTTCGTTGGTTTGATTCCTTCTGTGAGTGTTCCTTGCTCCTCACTGTCTGTGCGAAGGCCACGTGCTCTTGTGGGTGCAGATACCGGTGTCCCCTGGTTTTCTCATGATGAAGGAGAAACTGAGAGTGGAAGAGAAAATGTGGGGTCTTCCAGGACCTCACAATCTGAAGCCGTGGTGGCAACTGCATGACTGTCCCGGGGTGTGTTTGGGGCAATGCAAGGGCAGAGGAATAAACTGATCTGAGAAACTCTGTGTTGCTTTGCCTGCAGTAACCGCAGCGCCGTGGCAGTTCCCAGCCCAGCACTGGGACAGGGAGGTGGCTGGGCTCTGCCTGACATGGCCGGGCTCCTTCAGCCTGGCATTTCAGAGGCAGGTGGTGGGGAGCCAGGCTGAGCTTGTACCTTCAAGATACGCTTGCTCTGCAGGAGAGCGTCTGATGGCGTTGTCCTTGTGTTCAAATGGGCCAGGCTGGTGTGGGCTTAGCCAGGGCTTCAGATGAGTCGAATGGACACCAGCGTGCTGTGTGTTGGCTCTTTTGGTCTGCCTGGATGCTTATAGGTGAGCTGGAGTCTCTGTGTGGTGTTGGTGTCCAGCTTCAGCAGAAGGTCTGCTGGAATCTCATACGGTTTGGGGTCAGGTAGCCATGAGCACTCTGATCTTTGAGTGGTGACTGTCACCAGGCAGGTGTTGGCTGAGGTCTGTGCCATGGCTGGTTCTGAACTGCAGGACGGATGATGTAATGATCCTCCTCTTGGATGAGTGTTGATGAAAGCTTTGGAGGACCTTGCAAATGCTACTGCAGATGTGCAAAGCCCTTGTCCCATGCCTGACCATGCCATGCAGAGCCTGCTGGAGGGAAGGCTGGGGGTCTGGAACACCAGGAGAGGTTACGGCAGCTGGATGTGTCTTGCAAGGCGTTTGAGAGTGACTCCTCTAATGTGCTCTCCTCTCCATCAGCCTGTTCAGGTTGAGGTGGGTTTGAGGCTGCAGCCAGACCAGCTCCATCACTGTGGAGGTGTCTTGGATGGCTCGTTAGGGCTGACTTTGCTGGAGCAAAGGCAGCTTCTTACTCACAGCATCTGCGTTATGTTTCAGCCCTCTCATCTCAGATCACAGCATTTTCCTCCTGTGATCATTATGTTTGTTCAAATAACTGCTCTCATGGGCAAATATTGCTTAAGGCGTTGTGTAACTGAACACATCCCACAGTTTCAGCTGTATTGGTGTAGCAGGAGAGGATCCGCTTGTGAGTGGGACAGTAAGTCAGTGTGGCTCCTCCGGTGAGGAAAGAGGAGTGTCGTAGTGGGGTCAGCCCCTGTTAGATCCGTCACTTCAGGTGTTATTCCAGTCATTTAATTTCAATTACAGTCTCATCTCCTAACAGAAATAACGGTATGGCTGTGACATCAGTGTGCAGAAGGATTCCTGGGTTTTTCAGGCTCGTTGAGTTGTCCAGGTTCTTTCAGATCATCGAGTTCAACCACCAACCCAACAGTGACAAAACCCATCACTAACCCGTGTCACCGGGATGTCCCCAGGACAGGGTATGGGTGTGATGTGGAGGAGGACAGGGGTGAGCAGTAATGTGTTGCTCCTCCATTAGGTTATCAAACTGAACCATGCTGAAAGAGGAACCCCTGGGTTCCTCTCTCCCTGTCCCACCTCCCCGGTGCTCGCAGAGCAGGCAGCAGCCTCTTGTGTGATTCTTGATGATTCTTAATGCTTTTATCTCCCGGCTGTTTTGAGTGGAAATGCCAAATGCCACTGTTGTCTGTCAGGCGCGTCCTACCTCTGCGCTTGCCAGAGACACGGTGGTTTAAATCTAGGCCAGCCGGTTGGAAATTGGGACGTTGTGTCCAGTGAAGCTGGAAAAGTCCAAATTGTGTTCAAATGGCAGAAGGAGGCACCCAGGTAATGCTGCCCCTGTGGAAAGAGCCCTGGTGGCTCTGGGCAGGGCAGTGTGGTGGAGACTGGGAGCCCTCTCTAGCAAGGGATGCAGTTGGATGGGAGTTTGGATGAATTACATATTTACTGTCTGTCTAATCTGTGTTAGATTTAAAGCTGTGGCTGGAGTGTCTGGGGACAGGGTGTTCGGGGGACTCCACCTCCATCTCTGAGACTTTGCTTTCCATGTCCATGCCCTGGGTTTTCGCTGGCTGCCAGACTCCGCTGCTTGGTGCAGCTCTCTTCCCCTCCCTCCCGCGGTGGCCAGCTCTTCATCTGCTTATCTCTCAGCTTAGCATGAGCTGGAGATACAATCCCCCATGTCCTTTGGGTACGACCTCATGTTTGTGCGATGCCCGGGCACCTATGGCCCTCTATGAATTCAGCTGGTTAAGTGACTGGGAGGAATTTCATGGGTCATCAAGTCCAGTTCCCTACTGGGTGATGACTACTGAAGACAATCATCTTGTGCAGGTCGTGAACTTATCCAGGAACTAATTGTTGGAACTAACCCTGTGCTTTTTTCCCCCAGTGCTTCTGGAACAGCTGGTCTAGAGATCTCCTCCCTGAAAGTGTAGAAACCCTCCTCTGGCTTCCAGGCTCCAGTTTTCCTGGGCTGGTTGGTTGTGCTCGTGCCGTTGCAGAGTGTCACCTTGCAGATGAGAGATGACTTGCAAATTTTTTGCCTTCCCTGGTTCGCTGTAACTTTACGTCCTGCGCCAGCCGTGGTTCTCGATGCAGATTTGCCCCGAGAAATGTGTTGAAAGCTACTTTGTTTTTCCATCGCTTGTGTTTGAGAGGTTGGTTTTGCAGGGCCCCTTTATCTCCGTGTTGTGCTTTTGAGGGTTTTAAGTGCAGGTGGAGTTCGGAGCTGCACGGTTTGTGCACGTTAGTGAGTACAGAAGAGCGCTTTTTGCGCTACTGTCACTTCTGTTGTCTTTTTGAATGTTTGTCCTTGCTACTCGTGCCATCTTGCCCCTTCAGGAGGGAGAGATGTTGTCAGAAGCAGTTGAATCAAGGTGAACCTGATAAGGCAACGTATTGAAGAGCCGGTGCCTGGCTCTTACTCGTGGCTCTTATTCATGTTTATCTCTAGCTGTGAATGTGCAATAACAACAGTTCTGTTCGGCACAGGCTGGCACAGCCTCAGACAGGAAGATCTGCTGTTTACCAATCAACACTCTGCTGTAAGTGAGAAAGGGGAAAAAAATGTTTTATTGCTGCTGCGTAACCCAGAGTGGAGTTGAACCTTTCTGGAGGGAAAAAAAAAAAAAGAGGAAACTAAAAGCACATGTGTTACTCAAGATGCATTTTTCCTGGCAAGAGTCCCGCATGTGTGTTCTTCCTGCAAAGCATCCCTGCTTATGCTGCTTCCCATTAAATCCATAGCATATTAGTGGTGGGCAAGTAAAAGCTTCCTGTTTTCATAATGTAACTGGTCTCCACAGGGGGTCTGTGGAGGTGATTTTTCAGCCTGGCGTGTTCTGTAGCTGGGGCAAGTCAGTGAGCTGAGTAGGATGACAGAACTCTGCTACGAGGATTAGAAACAGGAGGAGGAAAAGATCTGGAAATGAGATCTGCTGGGAAAGCTTCCCCAGATCGGCTGCCGTGGCTTGGCTTGCTTTGTTTCCTCCCCTTTCTGTCTTTCTGTGGCATTACTGAGATGGTGCTAATGAGACGATGGTGCTAATGAGACGAGCCCTGCCAGCCCACACGCGCTTTTGTGAACGCTGCACTCAAAAGTCACCCACAATTGGCCAGTAAACTGGAGGATATGAGCGGCTCATTGCACTTCATTGAAGCAATGTTAATTGATTTAATAGAGCACCAGGGTTTTAGAGGTTTGGCTGTGGGTTTGTTTTTTTAATATGTGTGTGCATTCAGACCCTTCTTCGGGTGCCTTTATTGCCATTTTCCTGCTTATTCAGAAAAGGACCTTCCTGCTCTTCAGCTGACAATGGAGATGGATTTTGAAGTTCACCCTTATTTTGAAGAAACCTTCCTGTCCACTGCTTCTCCCTCTTTTTCTCCCTGTAGCCTATAATTAAGATGTTGATTGCCCTTTCAGATCTGTATAATCTCTGCTCTCAAAGTGACCGTGATAGATTTCCAGTAGCTCACTGGATAATCTATCACTGGTTTACAGCGTCCTGAGCAAGGGAGAAGAGGGAACTTTGGTCAGACTTTGACGCTGGTTGCTTTGGGGCTAAGCTGGCTCTACAATAAATCTACTTTTCCTATCAATCTTTTGCTTCAGGCTTTGGACGCCTCTTCCTCTGCCCGCATACTTATGAAGAGTCAGTGCTGGGCATTAAATGCAGCTCAGCCCAACTCGGCTGCTGTGTGTGAGTTTCTTCTGGGGTAAAGTTGGGCCAGAACCAGTTTCGAGGCAGCTGGAAGAAGGTAAAGATCCTCAAGAGCTCGCCTTTGCATGTCAGTGTCCATGGCCTGAGAGATGTGCTGCTGTTCTGGACTTTGCTAAAGCGTAGCATGAAGTGGGAGGTCCTGTTCTGTGCTGCTCTAGGACTTCCAGGTTTAATTATCATGTTACGTCATTAACAGCCCATCTGGAAATGTGTTTCTAGGCAGCTGACTTCAGCTAATGTCATCTTGGCAAGTGGCGCCCCGATCTTTCTCACCATGATCTGGAAAATAGCCCATTTTGCAGCTTCCAGTCCCTTAGATTTCCTCTAAGGCCGTGACATCTGACTGGCCTCTCTCCTCCCAGCCCTGCTGCCCCACACCAAACGTTTGGGTGGGTAATTTTTACTCTTCTCTCCATTTCCCCTCTCCCATTTGCGGTGCTCGTGCGCTTGCCTTGTGAACCTGAAGATCAGTCCTTGGCCCTGGGAGGTGAGGTGGCACTTTCTGAGCCACAGGGCTATGCTCCAAGCTTCATGGTCCATCACAAGGGCTGAAAAAGCCTCCCAGGTCCCATTTGAGTGTGCCAAACGCTGGCCAGTCCTTCCTGTTGTACCTTTGCCTTGGTCTGTCCTTGGAGGTACCTTCCCACCCCTCCCTGCCAGGAGCTTTGTGAAGAACCTGGAACTTGTTGACACCTGAATTTCCTGCCAAGGCCACAGCACTCGGGCTGCCCTGGCAGGGGAGGACAGAAAGAAAGAGCAGCAAAACTTTGCTTCTTGTCACCACGACACCAGCTTTGTGACAGGTTCAGTGTGGAGCATCCCAAGTTTGCTCGGCTGCTTTGCAACGGGGGTCTTTTGCTGCTCTTGAGCTACCGTTGGGTCGGTGTTTGGCATCCTGGATTTCAGTCTGTCCTGCATCTGTCTGAGGTGGATGTTTCGTCTCTTGTCTGCCCTTTCCCCCCCCCAACCTTGTGGAAAAAGACAGGTTGTTTGCCCTTCCTCCCCTGGGGTTACTTCTTTTATCAGGGTCACCTCAGCCTGGTGAACACAAGTCACGCTCTGCTTGGTACCCTGCTGGCTTTGCACGTCCTCGGGTCCTGCCACGCTGCCGTGTGGGGCTGGGACCCTGGTGTCCATCACTGCTGTGCACACAAATGCTTGAGCTTCTCTTCCCAGCGTGGTTGGCATGGCACCCCACCAGGCCTGCACTCTGCGTCTGTCTTCAGCTCTCCTGTGCCTGACTGACCTCCTCTGGGGCTCTGTAACCCCCCTGTGCTGACATGGCTCATGCTCTGGACCTTACCCGTCCCTGCACACTGTTCCCCGCATATCCTGGACTCCCTGAGTGTGTGTCTCCTTCGGTGGTGGGTGGGGAGATCATCTCCTGTGCATGGTGGTATGGTTGAGTAGGGGGCCATGTCTTCATGACAGGCTGAGAGAGTTGTGGGGGTTCAGCCTGGAGAAGAGAAGGCTCCAGGGAGACCTTGGAGCCCCTTCCAGTCCCTAAAGAAGGGGGGCTCCAGGAAAGCTGGGGAGGGACTCTGGATGAGGGAGGGGAGCCCTAGGAGGAGGGGGAAGGGTTGGACCCTGCAAGAGGGGAGATGGAGCTGAGCTGTGGGGAAGAACTTGTTTGGTGTGAGGGTGGTGAGAGCCTGGCCCAGGTTGGCCCGAGAAGCTGTGGCTGCCCCATCCCTGGAGGGGTTCAAGGGCAGGTTGGAGGGGGCTTGGAGCAACGTGGTGTGGTGGGAGGTGTCCCTGCCCAGGGCAGGGGGTGGCACTGGGTGGGCTTTGAGGTCCCTTCCAACACAAACCATTCTGTGATTCTCTAAGTAGTCTCCTCCAGCTTGATGTCCCAAACCAACCACAGCTCCTCCAGCTGCCCTCGTCTGCCCCTGATGAACTGCTCTGTGTTCAGGATGTGTGAGCTCCATCCTGCAGTGCCCAGAGAGGAGGCAGGTCCTGCCAGGGTTTTGGGTGGAGCCTGGACATCCAAAGCTCTTCAGGAACCCTGGTTTCTCCCTGCAAGCAGCAGACTGCATGTGGGTGAGAGCAGAGAGCTCCTCCTTCCCTGTTGAGGGTGGTACCATGTCCCAGCCTGTCTTAGCCCCCAGGCAGGGGAGTTCACCCAGCGGAGGGAAGGGATGGGACTTGGAGCTTCAATCCTAGAAAAAAGCCTCCTGCTTGTGGCTTCCTCTGGGCACAGCTTTTGAGGGATGTTTTTCCCCCAGGTACATGGTGTGCCTTCTCGAGAGCCTGGCCCAGGTTGGCCCGAGAAGCTGTGGCTGCCCCATCCCTGGAGGGGTTCAAGGGCAGGTTGGAGGGGGCTTGGAGCAACGTGGTGTGGTGGGAGGTGTCCCTGCCCAGGGCAGGGGGTGGCACTGGGTGGGCTTTGAGGTCCCTTCCAACACAAACCATTCTGTGATTCTCTAAGTAGTCTCCTCCAGCTTGATGTCCCAAACCAACCACAGCTCGTCCAGCTGCCCTCGTCTGCCCCTGATGAACTGCTCTGTGTTCAGGCTGTGTGAGCTCCATCTTGCAGTGCCCAGAGAGGAGGCAGGTCCTGTCAGGGCTTTGGGTGGAGCCTGGACATCCAAAGCTCTTCAGGAACCCTGGTTTCTCCCTGCAAGCAGCAGACTGCATGTGGATGAGAGCAGAGAGCTCCTCCTTCCCTGTTGAGGGTGGTACCATGTCCCAGCCTGTCTTAGCCCCCAGGCAGGGGAGTTCACCCAGCGGAGGGAAGGGATGGGACTTGGAGCTTCAATCCTAGAAAAAAGCCTCCTGCTTGTGGCTTCCTCTGGGCACAGCTTTTGAGGGATGTTTTTCCCCCAGGTACATGGTGTGCCTTCTCCTGGGCCAGCTGCTGGCCCAGCACCTCCATCAAGATCTGTCTGGCGCGTGGGATATCTGTGTTTTCATTCCCAGATCTTCCCTGGAGCCAGGGAGTAGCTCCGAGGTGACTTTATTTATAGGCTGGGAGAGTGGATGAGTTAATGAAGTGACTGAGCCTCGTCCCTGAGTGTGGGAGGCTGAGAACCAGGAGAGGTTGGAAAACTCTGTCAGGAGCTGAGCTGGTTTGTGCTGCACGGATGAGTAAGTTATCAAGGAAAGGAGCACGGGGGATATCCCAGCACAAGGAGGAATCTTCTGCACATGGGACCAACTGGGGCCAGGCTGCCTCGCTGGCTGGAGCAGCTCCAGGGATCTCTGTCTCTTCCTCCTGCTGCCTGCCAAAGGGAAGAGCTTGGGGAGGATCCTAGGAAAAGATGAGCCTGCAGCTTCCTAGATAGGTTGAAACACTCGGGCTAGTGTTTTTTCTTCTGTTTTTTTGTTTTTCCGCTCTCTTCAAACCTTCTGTGGAGCCAGAGGGAAGGAAAGGGGGTTGGGCAGACCCAGCTCCCCACCCTTCCTGCCTGCTTGGCTCTGGGTAGTGTGACAGAAGAGCCCAAAGGGTCAGTGCTGCTGCCTGATGGCGAGGAACAGGGTTTATCTGGAAGCATCCAGGCTGTGGAGGAACCTCCATGGGAGAGCTTTGCCATCCTGAACTCATCCTAAGCTCCTGCTGCTCAGGGTGCTGGTGGGGCAGTTTGAGGAAGGGTCTGCATCGCGTCCCAGCAGATCAGGGTAAGTGGGTGTGCGTGGCCTGGAGGTGGAAAGATCAAATCTGAATTTATTTTGGGAGCAGTTAAACAGTGTTGATTGAAACCCGGTAATTACTGCAGCTGCAAGGGGCAAAAAAACCCAAATCCAAACTCAGCATCTCGCTAAGGTGCTTAACTGTTAATTGCCATGAGTGAGAGCCACCCTTCTGAAGACACTTCAATCTGGTCACATTGTTGTTTCCTCTCCTGATTAGATAGGTGGAAGCAGTGCTTTATTAATTAGGAGGAAAATCCTGCTCCCTTCTGCCAAGACAGAAGAGTTCTTGGCGTTTTGCTTCCCTTCCACTGCTTGAGCTCGGGCAACATGCAGAGCATCTCCTGGGACATCTCCCTGCCTGGTGGGAGAAGCTCCTCAAAAATAAGGCTGGGTGCTTCCAGAGGGGCTTTTCTTCTTTGCAGGCTTCTTTAGCTGCCCCTGTCCCTCGCCAGGGTGCGGTTTTCATTCTCACCTTTACTTCTTCCAGGCTCTTCATTTGCGTAGCGTTGGCCAAAGGCGGTTTCTGGCCCCTCATGGCGAGCACGTGCGTGCTCTGCATCCAGCTCTGACGCTCCTCCTGCTTTCAAACAGGTTCACCCTCTCCCCTCCTTGGGGTCAACGTTCCACCCCTCTAAATATCGTTCATGGGCTGCTCTCACCTGGTGCCAGGGGTGACCCTGAAGAAAAGGATTTACTGCTTTGCCCGGAGAAATCCGATTTCACGCGGCGCTCGCAGCCAAGCAGCCCACTTAGACCGGGCAGACTTGGAGATCACTGCGACTTAGCCGGGTTATCCTTCACCTATTTATAGCTCCCTTCCTCTCCCCAGCTCCTCCCACCCTGGGGTTTTACCGCAGGGCTTTAAAACCAGATTCCTGGCCTCTCCTCTCCCTCTGCAGCCCTGGCGGAGGAGGAGGGAGCGAGGCAGGAGCGCGGCGGTGGGAGCCGGCAGGGATGCGGGCAGCAGGCATGTCTCTCGCCTCTCCTGGTGAGCTAAAACTGGTGTTTCCGTCTGGAGGAGGAAGCAAAGGGTTCTGCTTTCTCCCAACTGAGGAAGTGGTCTCGACCCAGCCTGTGGAATTGCTTTATTTATCAGTTTAGCTCTGCTCGAGGGAGGAGAAAGGCTATAAACTGACTGAGCATCCTGCCTTCTGTTCAGCTCAGCCTGTGGTGAACGGCATGGGGCTGTGGTTCTCCCCAGCTTGCCTTTATTTATTTACTTTCTCATGGTAGAACCCAAGTCTTGAGGTGAGAGGTGGAGTCTGTTCTTCCAGCAGGTCTCGTGGCTGCATCCCCCACGCCTGGGCTCGCTATGGGGAGGTGGCAGAAAAGGCAGAGCCTCCGGAGGTGTGGGACAACTGGTGTCTCCAGTTAGACTCGAGCTGGCAATACTTGGGAATACTCTTCCCCTCACATCACATGGCTTTCATTTAGCCAGAAAATCCGATTTTGTTACAAATCAACTGCCTGAATAGCAGGAAATGAGAGGGGAAGTGCCAGGGATCCATTTGGGCTGGATCTGCAAAAAAATCCGTGCAATCCTGCTGTGGGGCAGGTCGCAGGAAGCGAAGTGTGGAGATGCCTTTGGCTGGTGCACGGCAGCTCGGCAGAACAATTACAAGGAGGAAATCCACGGAGGGAAAATTGTGTTCTTGGGCTTTTTTTTTTTTTTCAGTTTTATTTGGTTAGTCCAGGCTTTGCAGGGAAGAGACCAGGACAGAGCAGTTAACGCTCTCCAGCTAATAATGGCCTCACGCAGGCACATTCCGGTATTAAGCTCGTACCAAAACTGCACCTGCTCCTTGAGCGGCTGCATTCGAGGGGCTGTTATCTATCAAGGCCTTTCTTGATCCCTTAGAACAATTCCAGGATTGAAAATCTGTATTTTAGGAGTCTTTGTTTCAGCCTTTTTACTGTACAAAGTAGTTTCTTCGCAAAGGTCTTTTCTACAGTTCATTCATCTATAGATCCCAGTGGGTAATTGAATAAGCTCAGCTGGGCTAATTTTTTTCTTCTTCCTCGTTTCTGCTTCTTTGCTCCGTTAAATGTTCCCTCGATCCCTTCCTCCTGACTCGCATCCAGATTGCTGTGCCTTTTTCCTTGTAGGAGAGACAGGTATCTTTAAACTTCTTCAAATACTAGAGGACACGGAACGTTTCTGTGGTTTAACTGTGAGGATGCTCAAAGAATAAATTCTAAAAAAAAAAAAAAAAAAAAGTGGGAAAAAGAGAGGGAGAAAAGGAAGAACAGTCACAGCCCCAAACCTGCTTCTGTGGGTAGGGGGATGCTCAGTAGTGGCTAAAAATTGGTGTGAGCTGAAAGGAAGTATTTCATTGCTCTGTCACAGAAAACCTACTTGTGCAGATGCCCAGTCTGTGTGTTTTCAGCCTTACTGGGCTGTTAGCGGGGAACGGGAAAAGAGGGATATTTTATTTTATGTAACAAGAAACATCAAATCTCCTCAGTGTGTACAAGCTGTCAAATCGTACTCCTCGCAGCTGAGGTAGCCAAAAACCTGGTGTCCCTGTCAGAGCCCGGAGCTTTCAGAGTAACCTTCGTGTGTGTGTCATTCCCAAGGGCTGCTGGTTTGGGCTCTAAGTGAGATCTGCTTGTCCCCTTTTGGGCCACTTTCCCATGGTGGCAAGGGCTTCCTGCTGGGCTCTGGTGTGCTTCCCTCTGCTAGCTGGAGCACTAAACTGGGGAGAGCCTCCTCTACAGCCCCCGTCCTCCCCATCTCCAGGCAGTGAAAGGGCCCTTCCCACCCAGTGGGTGCTGGGACGGGGATGCCGGTCAGTGTGTGCATGAACAGGCTTCTAAAGGTGGAGGGTTGTTGCTTAAATCACACCTTACCTTTCTCTCTTTTTCTTTCCTTTTTTTTTCCCCCCTTTCTCTTTTGTTTGTTTGTTTGTTTGTTTGTTTTAACTCTTGATCAGAACCGACCTTCCTTTCTCCAGTGTGTTGGGATCTTTACAGCAGCCCATGCCGCGGCGCCTGGCCTCTTCCACCCGAACTGCCCCTGGCTTGGACCTAACCTAGGAATAAATCTCAGCGCGGCTCGGACCTAACCTAGGATAAATCTCAGCGCGGCCGGGGTAGGGGGGAAACCATGGGGAGCTCTGCCTCGTCGCTGGCCGCAGAGACGGAGTCGGACCACGGCTTCAGTAGCGCGCCCTACCCGGGGCACCCAGCCGTGAGCTGGTATAGGAGTAGTCACGGTGGCCCCGTTTGGGAAAGTGCCCTTATAACGCGGCAGCACCAGCATTTACACCACCGGGTGCGAAGGTAAGGAGGAGGGGAAGGAGCCTGCTTACCTCTCAGCTTGTCTCCGGGACGCTGCCTTTGGGAAAGAAGGTGCTTTGCATCCTCTCGGGTGTCGGGTCTTTTCATTCGGTTCAATTCCACGTAAAAGCTCAAGGCAAATTTTTCACTGGTTTGAGCGATGCCGTGTCCTTGTCGCGGGGCTGTGGGTGTCTCCTGCAGAACGGGCTGCAGGACTCATCCCAGCTCTTCCTCACGCACCTAAATGGTGAAGGTGGCTGCCTGGGAATGGGATCTCTCTTCCTTTAACGAGTTTGCCATCTTCTTGTGGCTTTTTTCCCCCTGACTTCCCCACTGCTCTGTGGGTGTCTGTCAGCCTACACCACCACGGTGTCACAGACGGAGGATTGCGGTTCCAGGTTGGGTGGCGATAAGTAGCGACAGTTTCTGAACTCAAAAGAGCAAGAAAAGCTGTTTTCATGCAAAAGCAGCGAAATGCTTGTCAATACCAGATCCAGGGGAACGAAACACACCAAAACACACCAAAACAATTACACTGAAAAAGAGCTGAGTGTTTCCAACCCTCCATTTCTATCCCTCCTCAATAAAATCAGCGCCTCAGACGTGTCTCTGAGGCATCGCCTCTGCCCCTTCCCCATCAGCCACCTGCAGTGAGGGATTTTTCTTCGTGCTGGAGGGCTGGCGTCCTGCATTCGGGCTCTGACAGGTTGAGAGGTATGTCTAAAGCATCTAAAAACCCTCTGCCCGGGGGCTTGGCTGCAGAGGCTGCCGTGTTTTGTGCTAATAATATTTGAGCCTTTGCCTAATGCCTGCTCTGTGTGGACCCCAGCCTGGCTGGGTGTTTGTACTCGAGTCTGTCTGGAGCTGCTGGTCTTTTAGGAATAGCTGCTTGCTTCTGGGTGTTCCCCGAGCTGCTGTGGCTTTCCACGGGAGGCGTTTGCTGTGATGGTCATGTCGTGTCTTGTCGTGGAGTCCTCGTTTTCTGTACTTTTCTGCCGCCGCGAGTCCCGGCGAGTCTGCTTCAGGGTGGCTGGGCCACGATGCGGGAGGCTCCCCGGCAAGCTCCTTCCTAGCCCTGTCTCCGCTCTCCTTGTTGAGCTGGTAACGGTGTGAAACCAATTAGCTGTTGCCTTTGCTCTCAGTCACAGGCTTGAGTTCCGAGCAATGCCCCCAGAGGCCTTTAAAAGCTCTATTTTGTGCTGTTCCCAGCGTTTGTTGCTGCGTGTACCAACGTTTGTGGCCGTCCCGGGGTTCTGGGTGGGGATCTGTGCTGTCCCCTCCTGTTTATAGAGGGACCCTGCCACCAGGGATGGGTCCTTCCTGTGGGATTATTCCCTCCGGACTGCTGGTTTTCCCTCTGTTGCTGTGAAGGTTTGAGGAAGGTGTTGATGGCTCACACATGAATAGCCTGGTGTGGCCGTACACAACCACCACTGAGGTTTAGGAGCTTCCAGGGCAAAGCTGGCACCGGGCACTGAAAAGGTTGTGTCTCCGCAGCCTCGTGAGTGCCAGCCAGGACTCGTGATTTGAAGTCTTGAGAAATGAAGGGAAATCTTGACACGTGGAAAAAAATTTCCTGAAGAGCCAGCCTTGGCGGAGGAGCGGATGTCGGGGCAAGAACAGGAACTGCTGGTCTCGGTGCAGATAAAGCCGGTGTCCTGTTAGGACAGGGGTGGTTCTGGTGATAATCATGTCTTTCCCCTGCTCAGGGGCGAGGAGAGCTCATCCCGGGTGAGTGCCACGTGGCTCCTGGAGACAGGAAAATCACTGGCCGGGATTCACGGAGCAGGGAATTGCGTGGGAAGAACTCGCTTTAGGCGGCGATTATGGAAGTGGGTTCAAAAGCCCTGCTGAGATCAGCCGGGCTGTCAGGCAGCACAGCACCCGCCGTTCCCTTGGTGAGACGGGCCAAACAACAGGGGGAAGAAGCAGCGGATGGTTGGTTTCCAGAGAGGAACAGATAAATATATTCCTTTAAAAAAAAAAAAATTTAAGTTGATAGAACGAGTCAGGGTAAGGGAGCCCTGCCTCTGAGTATCCTCATCCCCGGAGCTGTGTGGGGCAGGAAGGAAGCGGAGTAGCGCGGAGTCAATTTGGGGCTGGACAGGAGTTCTGGGATAGACTTTGCTTTTCCTGCTGGTTTCCTGTCCCTGCCTGCGGCCGCCTTCAGAGCTGATAATGCCTTGGCTGCTGGAGCGCAGCACAGAGCCAGGCCTGCTCGGGTCTGTCTCACGCCTCGGGGACCAGCACAGACCTTCCTTGGCAGGAAAACGGGGACACAAGTACCTCACGAGTGACTTTGGGCTGTACTTGGTGGGGGAACAGGGGAAGGCTTCCCTTACGGTGGAGTGGGAATAATTGGTGCTGTTTGGCTTTTGAGATTCTAGGAGCTGAGAGGAGGCTGCAGTGTCTCCTGTTGCCTGGATGAGGCTGATGGTCCCAGTTCACTCTCTGCTGCAGCCAGGTGGACAGGAGGGAGAAGAAAAAGGGCCTTAATGGTAGGAGCAGTAGACTTGTGACCACCAGATTTGAGTCCCTGGTCTCTTCTGGATGGTCTCTTTCCACATGTCAGCGTCCCACCTTTTAAAGAGGAGCACGTCCCTGCCTCCCCAGCATACCAGGAGGACGTAGCTGTTTCCAGACTAAAGGAACCGAGTGTTTCGTGCGTGTTTTTTAGAGGGATCTTATTGCTGAAATCTCTGCTTGGGGCAAAGATCTTGCTTTTAAATACATCCTTGGTAGCAGGGTGTAGCCAGACAAGTTCTGGCTTAGTTAGAAGTCCCCTTGGGCTCCTCCTTGCTCTTAAGCTTAAAGGTGTTTGGCCTGGGCTGTTGTTGGGTGAGAGCTTTGAGCTGAGCCTCCAGACCCATCACGGCTGAGCTTCCTGACAGGTCAAACCCTTCATGAAGCAGAGAGCAGCAAGATACAGGGGCACAAGTCCAGGTGCTGGTGGTAGGACATATCTCCATTGCAGCTGCTGCAGTTGAATGGTTTGGCAGCTGTGGGGTCATGGTCCCTTCTGCTGCTGCTGGAAGTGGTGGTGGCAGCTCTTCAGTGTCCATCCTTCCACATCTGTAAGGTGTGAGGAGGGAATTAGGGCAGAGAACTGTCTCCCAGGTGAGATTTAAGGGGGTGTTTCTGCTCACCCACTCTTCATTCCCCAGCATCCATAAAGAGGGACAACAGGGTCCTGTCCTGGTCAAATTCTTGAAGGGCCCCAGAGGTGAACAGGCTCTTGATGGGACCATCAGAGGGATGGTGCTCTTCCCTGCTGGACCTGCCCTTTTGGTGAGCTCTCAGCACTGGGCTGGGAGGATTCCTGGGTTTCGGAGCACTTTGGATGTCTTATGAAGGGTTCATAGCACTGAGAATTGCATGAGTTCACCCTGCTCAGGAGAGGGTTTTGGGGGAAAGTGTTGCGAGATCCGTGCAGCTGAATCAAAGCGTCTCTGCCCACCACTCAGTTTGGCTGAAGCTCTCTGAGCTCCTTCCTTTTCCAGAGAATATGCATTTGCTGGGGTTCCCCACAGCATTCTGCAAAAGCTTTATATTTTTCTATAAAAGCTTCTTCAGAGTGAAATACCTCTGGGCTTCAATGGCCGTGGAGGGAGGAGCAGACTCTTTAGTTTTAAATGCTAAAAATATAGAAATCCTTCTGCTTTTAGAAGGAAGCAAGGACACCTGCTTTTGTTGTTGGCAGCTGATGGGAGGGCACTTGCAGTTACTTCTCTAGCTCTCCAGACCCACCACTTAATTCTGGAGAGAAACCCAGAGCGAGCACCCGTGACCTTGGTGTTTGTGTGGGGGAAAAAAAGCAAGTTAAAACTGCTGGGTAGCATCACCCAGTCCTGTCTCGGGGGCTTTGAGCCACCATGAGGCTGGTGGAGATGTGAATAAGGGGACACTGGTGTATCGGTGGTGGCAGGGAGCCGTATGAGGGGGGACGTGGTGGTGCAGCCCCTTCCTTCCCTCCCCTCTGTGTTGGGGCACTTCACCTCGGAGCGCGGCATAAGCAGAAGTGGCATCTGGAGGATGTTTCTTCTTGGGGAAGAGGAGAAGTGAGACGTCTGGGAAGAAAAGCTACTGGTGAAGCATCAGGTTACACTGCAGGGTTTCCTGCTTCTGGTTTCTGTCATCGGATCTCAGGTCAGGCATCAGCCTCAGGAGGTCTGACCGTGGTGGGCTGGTGTCGGTGCTCTTCGGGCTATGGTTACCCCAAGAGGGCTGGGGCTGTGGGTCAGGACAGGCACAGTTCCCTGCTTTTATTTGGATGTTCTCAGAGAGTTGATTTTGCATCTTGCAAGAATCACAGACTGGCTGAGGTTGGAAGGGACCTCTGGGGTCGAGCTGGTCCGACTCCCCTCCCAAGCCTCCATGCAAAGAACAGAGACTGTGGAAAAGCTGGAGATAACCAAAATCTCCTCCGATTCTAGATCCGATGAGGGGGGAGAAGGTCACTCTTCCAAACCACAGAGGCACTAACATGATCCCTGGTGCCTGTTCATTGTACTGGAGTGGAGCTCCTGTTCCCCAGGTGCTGCCGTGAGGTGGTTGCGTCCCTGTGTGGGTTGTGCTCCCTCTGGAAGTCGTCGTGGCTTGGAATCCCAAGAATCAGCTGGAATTTGGTAACGCAATGATGCTGCTGGTTGTCGTGGATACCTGCTCGATGGGAACATTGGGCTTGTAACTGTTTTCTTGCCAGTTCTCACCAACGCACGTGGCAGCTGGAATGATATCTTGCTCAAGAAAGCGTGTGGTGCCGAGGAGTTGGCAGTGTGGGGTGGGGTTTCAGCCAGTCCTGCCCATCTGCTTTCTGTGCTGGCCGCTCCAGCAGCCCCCTTACTCACAAAGCCTCTCAGGTGCTTAAATTTGGGCTACTTAGAGCTCTGCGGCTGTGAAGAACTTGGAAGGTGGTGCAGAGTAGCAGAGAATGAAGTTATTGATAGGTAACCCAAAAAACTCTCCCTTTGCTCCCCATATGCTGCCTAACCTTCCCCATCTCC